ACCACTTTCAAAGGAAATAAACATGAAACAGATGAAAAATTTAGCTTAAATGTTAATTTAAAATAAAAAATTTAGCTAATTTCCTTAGGAAGTAAAGTCTCTAGGTCTATCCCTTTCAAATTAGTAGAGTGGGTCTGATACTATTACAAACAGATGAAGTAACCACAGCAACCTTTACAACCACAGAAGGAAAACAGCCTGTCTACAAAGATATGCATGAAACAACTTATCATTTAATAATTGTACAAACACAACTATACTGAGAATACATCATGATACCTGGAAAATGGACTGTATTTAAAAAAAATACAATCTCCTTAGGAAATGCTTTATGAATTAGCTATTTTTCCATAAAACTATCTGTAAACAACTATAAGAAACTTTTTAAAAAAGATTTTATGTATTTATTCATGAGAGACACAAAGAGAGGCAGAGACATAGGTAGAGGGAGAAGCAGGCTCCCTGAAGGGAGCCAGATGTGGGACTCAATCCCAGGACTCCAGGGTCACACCCTGAGCCTAAGGCAGATGCTTAACCACTGAGCCACCCAGGAGTCCCTATAAGAAACTTTTATTTTTTAAAAGATTTTATTTATTTATTCATGAGATACAGAGAGACAGAAAGAGAGAGAGAGAGGCACAGAGACACAGGCAGAGGGAGAAGCAGGCTCCAAGCAGGGAACCCATGTGGGACTCAATTCCAGGTCTCCAGGATCATGCCCTGGGCTGAAGGCGGTGCTAAACCGCTGAGCCACCTGGGCTGCCCAACTTCTTAAAGTATTTAAAGGAAAGTCATTATGTTGGTTACCAGTATCTTTTTCTAAATACACCATTAGTTTCCACTCAAGAATAAAAGCATAAATGCTTTCTCTTTCTTCTGATTTCTATACTTAAAATCCTACTTGACAGAAAAAGAGATGACGTGTATGTCCCAAAGTTCTATAAGCAAAGGAGTGATAAACCACTAGGAAGAAAAAACACACATTTGTTGAATGCTGACTAAATGTATTGAATACTGTCTTTTCTCATCTGGGAAGCCCCAGAAATGGACATTATGATTTTTTTTTTACAAACATTATTAGTAAATCCGGTCCTAGAGATGGTAAATAATTTGTACAAGGTAGTAAGGTAGTAAATGGCAGAGCTGCGATTTAAGCCTAAATGCGAATCCAAAATCAGAATCAGTGTTCTATTACACCATATTGCCCCTAAGCTTATTTGAACATGTACTTTAGTACAAGGAGATGCACCACCAAAAAATATAAAAAGGAAGTGGGAAAGCCAGACTACATACAGTTTCTGACCAGTGAAGGTTGATGGAAGAAGTATGACGAGAAAGTTAGTAAAACTAACGTAATAATTCATGAGATCAACTCATCTATAAAAAATCATCAGTTATCTCTTCTTTTCAAATAGCTGTTAAATTTACTCTTATAAAGAAAGTTTCAGTGTTCTGATTTTATCATGCTAGTATATCCTCCCTCCCGCTGATATTCTTGTCTCTGAGATTATGAAAATCTTAAGTAAATTCTTATAGCATTCCCACAAATTCTTAACAATCTCAGAAGGAAATAAAGAGAGAAGAAAATGTTTTACTGGTCTGTAACTCATTTTTTTAGACTTGCCAAATGAGCTAGGTTCACTGCCAGGCAAGGACAAATAGGGAAGGCCACACGGTGGCAGGGTGGGTATTTAACTTGCCATATAAATGTAAGAGTACTTTTCTAGTTTAATGTTCAGTGTAGTCACCAAAGTAAATTCATCCAGCAATCGAGAAATTAATTTCTACCTCCCACTACTGACTGCCTACTACTATAAAAGTTCTTAACCCTGTTAGTAGAAATTCAACTTAAAAAAACAACAAAACTTTGTTTTGGAGTATTTCATGAGGATATTAAATTTATCCACTATTCTCAGAGTTTATATACACTGTGAATAAAGCAAAATCTTCTCTAACTAAACAGTTACATCTGTTCCAATCATTCTTAGAACATGAGTTATTTCAGTAGCTCAAAAAGATCCAAATGCCAGGTTGGATTGGGACTATACTTTTTGTGGTGGGTCAAATTACCCAACGGGAAAGAAAGAGAAGAACACAATTCCCGAGAATGTGTTCATTCCTGAGAGGCAAGGGACTCTTGATCCTGTGCCTTTGGTATCTGGAGCCAAGAAGCTACTTGTGGGAGATGAGGCCAGGCCACAGAAATTCTACCTTAATATTGAAATCCCAGCTGACATGATCGCCAAACCAACAAGGGAAAAAGCATTAGTCATAAACATAGAGATACTAGAATTACTAGTTAATATTCTAAATTTTAAATCCTGGTCAATCACAATGACCTGGACTCCTTTACTGCAGATTAGCAAATGAAAACAGTATGTCTCAAGTAGAATCTAAAATATGAAAAATAACTTGATTCAGAGCAGCAGAGGCTAGGATAACATTTTTAAGTAGCAGCCTCAGTTCCAAAACTTTTCTGTACTACTTTTTTTTTCTTTCAAATTTTTATTTAAATTCTATTTACTTAACATATAGTGCAATAATATTGGTTTCAGGAGTAGAATTCACTGATTCCTCACTTACATATAACACCCAGTGCTCATCATAAACACATGCCCTCCTTAGTACTCATCACCCACTTAGCCCATCTCCCACCCAATCTCCCTCCATCAATCCTCATTTCTCTATTGTTAAGAGTCTCTTATGGTTTGCTTCCCTCTCTTTTCTCCTCCCTTCCCATATGTTCATCTATTTTGTTTCCTAAATTACGAGTGAAATCATGTAAGTGAAACATTTCTCTGACGTATTCTGCTCAGCATAATATACTCTAGCTCCACCCATGTTGCTGCAAATGACAAGATTTCATTCTTTTTGAGGGCTGAGTAATATACCATTGTGTGTATATATATATATACACATACCACATCTTCTTAATCTATTTGTCAAACAATGGACACTTGGGCTCTTTCTATAGTTTGGCTATTGTAGACAACACTGCTATAAACATCATAGTGCAGGTACCCCTTCCCTACCACCTCTGGCTAGTTACAGTCTCCACTTGTTTTTCCTTCAAACATCAATTGACAGCCACCATTGGATTGCACACATGGCCATTAGTTGGGCAACGAATACTAACAAACACTGCATATAACAAGATTATCATTACACAACTAATGTAGGCAACTCTGAGGCATCAGCATGACAAGAGCAAAGCTCATCATCAGAAATGGAGACCATGTGTACCAACAGAGACTGTTAAAGTATAAAGATTAACCTAAGTAAAAAGCATCCCAATCATTTTTATCCAAAAATTTTAAATAGAATCTTGAGGATTATTTTCGAGAGCTTCTCACTACATAAAACAAAGCCAAAATGACTCATAAAATGCAATGATTCAAACATGCACATTTTTGAAGTTGTCAGTTTTATGTAAACAATTAAACTTTCCAATACCAAGATTAAGTGAAAACAAACATAAAATGAGACTTTTGGATTATCAAAGTCTCTAGAACTGCACTGTCCAATATGGTTGCCACAAACTATACGTAACTATTGAATTTCAATTAAGAAAAAATAAAAACTCAGTTCCTCAGTCACACCAGCCACATTTCAAATGCTCAAAGCCACACATGTCTGGTGTAGCGGCTACATATTGAAGTACAGATCCAGAACATTTGCATCAACACAGTTCTATTGGAGAGCAGTACTCTTGATCAAAAATTGTTCTATATCTATACTGTGGTGGCAGTTCATACATAACTGTCACAATTCATAGACGTGTACATCTTAAATGGATACAGTAACACAAGTAAATTATTCCTCAATAAAGCTTATAAGGAAAAAAGAGAATAGATATACGACCACTGGTGTATTCCAAAGGAAAAATAAAACATACTTCGGGTATGTAGAGGAAGTTCTAAAGTCCTGACAACTTGCTTATGCAGTCCTTTAGTTGAGACCCTGGTACATCACACTGGGGATCCAAGCCAGAGTCAGGGACAGATGGCTAAGGCAAAGAGGAGAGTATGCATCTGCCTACGATAAGAGGTTGAGGGGCAGGAGATACAAGATACTATGGAAAGTAAGGCACAATGTGTAGAGCCCTCCAGAAATGTACCTCCATCCTAATCTCAAACCATCAAATTATTAAAATCTATTCACTGAGGGGTCACTGAAGATGTAAAGTTAATTCAAAAGGAGTTGTAAGGTGCATAGCCTCACCTAGGTATCTTCCAAATGATTAAAGAAATTGGTAAAATGAAAAAAACTATCCAAAATATTTAAAGATTTAATACCTGAAAATCAGAAGAGCCAGGTATTAACAATCCCAATTCCTTCACAGTATCCTTCAGCTGGTAACAGTCAAAAGTTCTAACCAAGGATCATAGCTGATCACTAACACCAACTCCAATCCTTCTGCCTCTGACAGAATGGCTACCACCAATCACTCTCTAGGCATGACTAGTTCTCAAAAGGTAGACAGGACACTGAAAGGGGCAAAAACAGGTTCCCCATAGTAATTTGGTCAAAAACAAGGGTTCTCAAATTTCTTCAGTTAACACCTAGTGGCCAAAGTATACTTCAACCCATTAGTATAGCAACAAATAATTTTTGTTACATCACATGCCACTTTATATTTTATTCAAACATTTCTATTATCAATAGTAGTTATCAGTTTATTAAATGAGGGAAAATGCTCAATATAAAAGAAATGTTTAAGAATATTACAGTGTATTAGCTTATAGTATTTTATACAATTAAAATGATGATTATGAACACTGGCAATGTGTAAAAACAAAATCAAATGAAAAAGCAAAGTACACTATATATCTATAGTATGTAAATATAAAAAAGGACTAAAAGAAAACATGAACAAATGAAAACTGCTTGATTCTTACACTGTGTACTTGTTCTTTAATATAGATATCATTAGTGTTGTTATGTTGTCTCATACAAAATAAAAAATTTTAAATATTTATAAATACAGACAGCACACTTACCACAGTGGGATTGCCACTACTTATCAACTGGCTGACTTCATGAAAAATGCTTTTGCAGTCAATTGATTTATCTAAGGATCCTCGTTTTACAATTACTGCTACTGCTAATAGAATCTGTTCCCGAACATACTTTTGGAGGCTGTAAAACATAAAAATCATTATGAAAACCTTTACATGAATCTAATATATAAAAATACTCCCAAATTTCTCACTGCCTGAAGCAACTAAAACACCGCTTCTATCTGAGGATAGTGTAGAGCCTACTGGTTATGCACAGCTTCTAGAGTGATAAGATTCAGATTTGATTCTGCTTTCCATCATTTACTGGCTATGTGACCCTGAGCAAGAGAGTCTCAGAGCCTCAAGCTCTCTCATCTATTAAAAGGAGGTAACAGGGCTGTTACTAGGATTAAAGGTTCTTAAAACTGTACCCAGTGCATACTAAGTCCTATATAAGTGTTAGCTGATTCAGGCAGTATTCAATAGATGCAAGTCAGTTCACTAAGAGCCAGATTATGATTCTAACAATTAAAAGAAATTCTGGGGACGCCTGGGTGGCTAAGTGAGTTAAGCATCTGCCTTCAGCTCAGGTCATGATCCCAGGGTCCTGGAATCGAGCCCCACATCAGGCTCCCTGACCAGCCGGGGCGGCGGGTGGGGGGGTGTCTGCTTCTCCCTCTGCCCCTCACCCTGCTCATGCACTTGCTCTAACCAGTACTAGTATAATCTTAAATTCATTCCCTTTAATGTGAAAAGGCAACAAGCTAGCTACCCAACATATATTATGGACACATACAAATTTTTAAGACTTTAAAAATTTTCCTATCTAAATTGTGCTCCACAATGTGATGGCAGAAGCACTGATTCTAAGTGGAGGCATTCTACAAAGTCCATTAGACCACAGGACACAGATATTTAATTTTCTTTTCACAACCTTTTTTTAAAAGTAAAGGTCAGAAAACAGAACTCTGAACCTTATAATCCAGACTCTAAAATGCCACAAGGATACAACAACCATGAGCTTGGGATAAACCCCAAATTCCTCAACATGGCTTACAAGCAGTAGGACCCAGCCTAGCTTTCTTTGGACAATCCCAATTTACCCATTGTCTTACCTCGTTACTTACTAACAGTATTTTCTTTAACCCTGGAAAGTGTCTCCATTTGAACATAAATGATACACTCACTTCCAAGGCCTTCATGGTCAGACACCTGCTGCCCTCTCTAATTTCCCTCCATCCACATACACTCAAAACTACAGATACCTGACTGAGCTTCTTTCAGTTCCTGGCACAATGCCCATGCACTTCTGGGTCTCTAAATGTCTATGTCTTCTGCCAAGATTGTGATGCCACTTTCTTCAGAGAGTGCGACATTACCAAAGAGGGCTCCCCACAACACACAATAGGCATTTACTACACATTTATACAAACAAACAAGTCTATGTCAAGTCTAAAGTGAAAAATACTCCTTCAAATAGACTTGAAATATTCATTAACAAATAAATGCAGAAATTCTATTACGTGGAAAAACAGGAGCTGACCAAAGTGAATTTTTCTATTTTTTGGGAAGGGGGTAGGGGGACACACAATAATTTCAAATACACTAACTACTACTAGAAAATGTACATAAAGTTAGCTTTATTTATTTTTTAAAAGATTTATTTGATTGAGTGCATGCATATGTGGGGGCAGGGGCAGAGGGAGAGAATCTCCAGACTCCCTGCTAAGCAGGGAGCCTGACCCAGGGTTTGATCCCTCGACCCTGAAATCATGACCTGAGCCAAAACCAAGAGTCTGATGCTCAACCAACTGAGTTGCCCAGGCACCTCCATAAAGCTACTTTTTTTTTTTTCATAAACCTACTTTTAAGGAACTCCACTTGGCAAGAATTAACCTACTAGGAAAATAAATAATAATGGCTAACATTTGTTGGTGCTTATGATATGCAAGGCTTCCTATAAATTAATTTCACAAAAATTAATACATTCAATCCTCACAACTATCTTTTGAATAAAACAAATATTAACTCTAATAGTTAAGTAATAACAACAATTAAAAAAACTAATGCACGAAGAGGGTAAAAAATCTGCCCCTGCACACAGACTGACAGACGTGGAAATCACAGTCCCTTTCTCAACCACTCTGCATACTGTCAAGTGCAACTTCCATTTGACTAAGCAAATTTTATCCAATTAAGAGGAAAAAATTCTGTGGACCAAATGAGAAATATACAATACTATGAACATAAGATTCATAATATGTTATCTAAGTAGTATACCAACAATTTCCACTTGACTCAAGTCCACACTGTAGGAAATTCTATAAAATAAAATTGGCTGTGTCATGAAAAACAAAAAAGGGTAAAATTATTCTAGATTAAAAGAGACATAACTAAATACGACACATAATCTGTGGTTAAATCCTGGATCAAACAACCTATAAAGGAGGAAAGAATATTAATAACATTACTCAAACAACTAGGGAAATGAAAATACAGAATGAGAATTAGATTACATTTCTGCTGCATACTTTCAGGTGGTTCGGGGAGAAATGCACATAGATTAGAGAAATCAAATGTGACAAGTGTTAACTAAGCTCCTACTAGGAAAAAAGTATGTGTATGTTCACTGTACTCTTCTTTCAAATTTGCTGAAAGTTTTTTACAGAGTTTGGGAGAAAATATATAAGTGAACTATTTCAGTGTAGAACTCTATAATCAGCTCTAAAGTAGCTTCTGAAATAATGAAAATTATTTAAGAATGAGACTATTTTGGAAAATACAAGAGATCACACCCACGCACATATACAAACACAATCAAAATCTACCACACATTTAAGTTTACCGAACTCTCCACAGTTCAGTGGTTCCAATATGGGGAAGGTGGGGGTTCAATGAGCAGCTCCAGGCAAGCCAGTATCACATCACACCCAAATGGCCTCATCAAACAACAAATTCAAATTTAAATAAAGAAGAAAACCAGCATGAAGAAGAGAAAGATTTGAAATCCGATCAATTTTTCCTTATTCTATTAAAACTGGAAAAAACAGTTTTTTTGGTTTCCAAGCCAAACCTTCCCTTTACCTACATCTGTATCCACTCACCTACAGAAAACGTTACCCATTACACCTGTAATGTTTATAGGCTAGGTATATCTTGCCTTTTTTCTCTCATGCATTCTTCTATACGTAAAGCAACTAGCGCTAAACTGTGTGCTAAATTCATGTCAGTAATTATTATTAAACATTATGAACTCAGAGAATGTTAGTGAATAATCAGTAGGAACAAGGTATGCTTTAGTTTTAAAGCTTTATGCATGTTTAATGCCATTCAACACATTCCTAATTATTAGCCTTTCTGATTACATAACGTTTTCTTCGTTGAATTTGGAAATTAACATCTACGCAAAAAGTATTCAATTGTCCAACTGCACAAATGGCATACACACAATGTGCACTGCCTCTTCCTAAAAGAAGACTTGGTATCTGGGGGACTTAAAAAAAAAAGGTAAGTAATAAATGAATTTCTTTTTCTTTCCTTTTTTTTTTTTTTTAAAGTAGGCTCCATGTCCGGCATGGACCCCAAGGCAGGGCTTAAACTCATGACTCTGAGATCAAGACCTGAGCTGAAATCAAGTCAGACGCTTAACCTGAGCCACCCAGCCATCCCAGCAAATGAATTTCTCCCCAAAGTTCTGTGACTGACAATTTTCCTCATATTAAAAAAATATATAAGCAATGAATGTACAAATCTCATAAAATGTTCAAATAATAGAATGGTATAACACAAAAAGGAAACTTCCTTTTACCCTATTTCTGAAAACTGATCCAAAAAAAAAAATAAAAATAAAAAAATAAAAAAATATAAAAAAAAAGAAAACTGATCCATTTTCCAAAAGACACTACTAAAAGAATTTGGTGCTTTCTCTTCTACAACCTTATTAATGTACATTTCTGTGTGTGTGTGTGTATAAATACATACACCAGTTTACTTGATTTTATATATATATATATGTATATATATATATATATATATACAACCAAGTGATGCATATATATATATATAGAACCAAGTGATATGAACCAAGTGATAACAAACCAAACACTTGGTTTGTTAATGGTACTTAGATTTCCCTCTTCACCTGTCATAGGATACTCACCTATGTCTTATAATACATACCAAGTACCAAAAGAAGAAGTACAAAGGATTTTCTCTGGAGTCCAAGATCAACTTTTATTTATAACCAAAATCTTTGGAACTAAACCAACACAAAAAACCCTAACATCCAGAATAATCTTTTCAAAGAAACAAGACATAGTTCCATAAGCTTAAATAGTTTATTAAGTACCAAAAGCAACCCACAACCATGTGTGTGTGTTTTTAAAATAGAAGCCCCAAGCAGAGCTTAACCATAAACATATATCATTACAATAAAGAAAAAAAAGTTTAAAAAAAGCACAGCAAAAGTATTTTAGCAGTATCTCCACCACATACTTACTTAGGCCTTTGTAAGACATAGGTTAAAAGGAATGTTCGCAGTGACTCGATGCTACCTTTTTCCAAGAGAATCCACTCTCGGACAACTGCTTCCATTATGGCTGTGGCAGCTTGAAAGAGGACATAGTCCACTTTACTTGTTTCTGAAGAGAAAATTAGAAATTTTCTTTAAACAGTGGTTCATCTTCCTTTGAACTTTCTGCATTTATTAATTTAAAAACAGAACTTTTCAGACAAGGAATAAGATGGTTACCTGTTCTTTTTTTAATCCAGTGACCTTGCTCTAGCACCACAAAGAGGTTAGTTCCTCTCAGAAGACACCCAGGCAGGTGGCAGCTAATCACCGATCACAATTTTCACAAACTTTCCTCACCTCTCTTCAACTGTTACTTCCAAAGCATGAAGAACTAAAAAATAACACAGCTTTAAAAAAAATAAAAATAAAAATATAAAGCAATCATAAAATTTCCTAAGAGATTCTCACCCTGTGCAAAATAGAGCTTCATATCTACAAAATATCTGAAACTAGTCTTTGAACATTACTATTTGGGATGAGCCATGCTGTTAAAATATTTGTTAAGTGATTAAGCTTTCAGCAGGATGGCCCATCTCCAATAGCAAGTTCAGAAATAAACACGATCACTTTCTGGTTACATTTCTCAAAATGTTAAAAAAAAAATTAAGTCACATTTACACAAGGTGAGAAGTTCTTGTGAATTTTCTGATTGCAATACTGATCAAACTGAGTCAAATTCCAAAGCTACACTTAGAAAAACCCAGCCTAGCAAATTATAGTTTCTGAACTAAAAACTGAATCAGGAGGGAAAGAAAACATAGAAAATTAACATATGTAAGAAATATTTTAATTTTCTATTTTTTCTTTCATTCACCAGTACCACTACAATCGGTTTCCAAACAGCATTATCAAAAGGGAGAAACAGTCAAAATGAAGTCAAGAAAAAGTAGAAATTTTCTGAAGTTCTAAAAAATAACCATCACATGAAATCCATGAAAAAGTCTATGATTAGATTGCAGGTTATTTGCCAGATCACTAGACATGAGTATCTGAAAGCCATGAGAAATTAACTCGAGGCATAGAATGGCACCTTCAAGAATTTATCAGAAGAGCATGAAGATATAGTCAGGCACATCATTTTCTCTCCTACTCAAACTTAGGTCATTTAAAAATCTTGTAAGTGATCTTGACACAATAAGTTATAAAAACGCATGAGAAAAGGTATACCCTACTAAATTCCAATCAATTTAGACTACTACATATGAGTTTTGAACATATGAAAACTAGTAGGGGGAGGAACCAATTCGGACTTTTTTTTTTTAAGTTTGATTATTCCATGCTATTTTAACATGAATCCTAATTAAGATGATAATCAGAACTCACAAAAATTTAGAAACCTTAAAATATTGTCAATAAATAAAGCAACAGCTTCCAAAAATGTAAACCTATTATAAAAAGATGTGTTTAAAGTTCCACGAGGGGGGGGGTGTTTTATTCAAAGAGGATTTGAAACAGAAACTAGCTGTATCTATTTAGATCGCTTAAGGAGAAATATGGTACTGCTTCATAAAAGTAATTCAAGTAATCTTACTATAAACCTCTTCTTGAAAATAAATGACTGATGGCCTAATTTCATTTTCTATTGAAATAATAAAAATTTTAGGGACAAGAAACCTAAAATCCTTAACTATGGGTTTTAACAAAGAAGCAAAATCTTAGGGACTCACAAAATTTTGGAAATACAATTCCAAAGATAATCTAATTCATTTCCTGCATTTTACAGGTGAAGAAAGTATTGATGCACCAAGAGATTAAGAGAAGAAATTCAAGGTCACATGGCTGATAAATGTTCGTTGAGCAACACTAACCCGCCCCTAAGAGCATATGCCAATGAAGAGAAGACCAAGCAAGCACCTTCTTGTTTTCATAAGCAATGAAACATGCTTATTTCTAACTGTGCTTATATCCAACCCATTCTTCCTGCCTTCTCCTCCTTTTTGCAAGGAATGGAGGAGGAAATAACTGCAGAAGGCAAGTGACTTTCAAAAGTTTCCAAGATGGGCAGCCTGGGTGGCTCAGCGGTTTAGTGCTGCTTTCAGCCCAGGACACGATCCTGGAGACCTGGGATCAGAGTCTCACGTTGGGATCCCTGCATGGAGCCTGCTTCTCCCTCTGCCGGTCTCTGCCCCCACCCCTCTCTGTCTCTCACGAATAAATAAAATCTTAAAAAAAAAAAAAGTTTCCAAGATAACTCCTTCTTAAATAGCTGTTTGATATTAAATAGGCATATCTAAATTACTACTCCCATAAGAAGCTTACTCTAAGAATGGAGGAATCTGAAAAAAAGAAAAGCCAAATTCCAAATTTAAAAGGAGGAATTTTCCTAGCCTAATGAATTATACTTTCTCATAAAATTTATGAGTAGCTTTCATAAACTGCACTTACACATAATATAAATGTACAAATATGTAATATAAATGTTCCATATCCTATATGGAACTCTTGAAGCTACTAGCAAGATCAGACTTCACATGGACAAACAAGCCTTATTCTTGCTCTCCGCTCTAAAGATGCTCAAAATTGCAAGGTCTTCATGAGGAAATCACAACTTACCTAGAATTTCTGATACTTTTAGGGTGATTCTCCACTGACCACGACACTGTCTAGATAACAAACTATTTTAGGCCACTTTAGCAGTAAGCTTTCACTTCCTACCATAGTAAACTCTCTTTAATAATAATTATGTAAATAAAATTCATTTCTATAATGTCAGCCATCTGACACTACATAGAGCCATGAAGACAAAAGTTAAAGTGAAGTATATAATGAGAGGCAGAGCACTACATTCTGTTCAAAAAATATTTTCAAAAGAAAACTAAAACTATAGTAATCGAGTCCCAGATGTTCAGCTACTACATACAATCACCTCTCTGCTTAAAGACTTCTGTCCAAAGCGTAAGCAACAGAAGCTCCAGAGTCTGCTTAATAATACATAGGCACACCAATCAAGAAAAGTCTCAGGTTTCATTTTGTTTTGTTTCAACCATTTCTGAGATAAGAAATTAAAGAAATTCATTTCCCCCCTGAAAAAAAGATAGAAGAATGCTACAAAGTTAGCTCCGGAAGTATGGAACCAATCTCTCACTGGCTGGGTGTAGCACTTTAACAAGAACAGAACTCACAGGATTTGTGAATGCATATTTGACCAGACCAAACTAGCAAATTCCTAAGTGCCAAAGACTTCTGAAGTGAAGAAGTCTAAAAGTACTCTTCTGATAAAATGCACAGGCATGCAACATGCACACGCACATGCGCGTGCGTGCACACACACACAGAGAAGAGTGGAAAAGTAAACCTAGAATAAAAATAAAATAAGAAGAAGAGAAAGAAATGAGGAAAAACAAGAAACATAATAAAACTTAAGACAGAAGTGGGAAGGAAGAATTTTAAGAGGCCAGAAAAGGGAAGCATCAAAAGAACGTCTCCCCTTTACTAGAATATATCACCCATTGTATAAAAATGACATATTAACGCTAAATAAGAATGTGAAAATTCTGAACTGCGATTGACTGCCACTTGTATGAGAAGTCTTCTTAGAGGAATTAACCCTTCTGTGCTGGTGGCAACTGAGTAAGGAGCTGAAAGATTTTCTGTGAAGTTTAGATGTAAACATTAATGTAACACAGGGCTTTGCAGTACATTAATGATTAGATTATGCTTATTATACATGCACTCAACCTTTTAAATAGTTAATGTCTCAAGCACAGTGGGAACTAGCAATACTATTCTCTAGAAATTTTTATCAGGAAAGCAAAGGTATACCAAAACAAGCTCAAATCATAACAAAGCAATAGTACTTCATAAAATATACAAACTCTAAAAAGGAAAGAGTCGTATAAACAAATACACTCTAAAAAAAAAATACTTACAAACTTAGATCAACTATTTCCCAACTAATACAGAATGATAACTGGATTATCATAGAAAGTCAGATGAAAATGATGGAATCCTAATTAATGTAGTTAAGGCATATGCCATAAAAATCAGACTCAAATTACTTTAGGTGAATAGTTTAATACAATGGTTTTCTAAATCTAATTTCTAAATGCTGAATAATTTCAAGGATGTAAAGATGAAGGCTCCCTTAAATTCTTGATTGTGATCTTTAGTTTTGCTTCTTGTAATTTAACATTGAATCGAATATTCCCCACAGGCATACGGTAACAAATTTTCTTGGCGCCAGAAACAAATTCACCCAAAGTATAAAAACTGACCATTAAAAAAAGAAGAAAAAAAAAGATCAAAACTGCCTCACTTAGAAATCCAAAGGTGGTTATTAAAACTATTCCTCTAATGACAAGATCTAACTCCTGAATGAGACAGAGCCACCTTCACCACCACTGCTAGTTCCTTGCAAATAGAGAACAGAACATTTTTCTAAGGTTGTCATATTTTTAAAATGTCTTTTGAAATCAGGCAATGGGGTCACTTATGTTACTGTTTAGAAGGTGGTTTTAAATGTTACTACATTTGTGCCTCATAACAGCTTAAAGCAACCAAGTCCATTAAGGAAAATGGTCCCAATGTTGCCGTCTTACAGATGAAAAAAAGGCTAAGTGACATCCTCAAGTTGTTACCATGCAACAGGCATCACTGGTGCACAGATCTCACAGTACCCACAGCAGGGCTCTTTTTACTCCAATCTAACAACTCATTTATAATTCCTTATATGAAAAGCACTTTTAACATAATGCTAATTATAGGCTATTTCAATCTGGAAACCAGAGTGCTAGTGGCTAACAGTTAAGTCTCACAAAAAGCACAAGAATAAAAGATCAGATATTTTAGTTCTTAATACACAACTAATCAATTTTATGGTGAAGGATAACTCAGAGTATATTGGTTACGAAAAATGGCTCCAATAAGTAGAGCCAACAATAATTAAGTTATAAAATAACAATAACCAATAAAATCTCTGATTATTGAAAAATATGTTAAGAGGCAGAAGACTGTATCTCTTAGAAAATACCATTTTTGGACAAGAATTGTAACTTTTGCAATTATTTTTAAGGGAAAGAGCATTTCTGTACATATGCCAGCTAAGAGGTAGTAATAAAACGTTTTTACAATAGTAAAAATTAACACTTTGTTTTAAAATATACAGTGATAATCTACACAGAACTAATATTTGCTAAGCAAGTGGAGCACAACTACATGGTTAAAAATTTTTTTCAGAAAAAAAGCTAAAAGAAAAACTTGAAACATCCAAAAATAATCATAATTTTAAAACACTAGGATATGATATATGACAGTATATTTGCTATGGTAAGTGAAAGGACTCTTGAAAACAACTGAAAAGTATATTAGATTTTCCCCCCACCATTAACAGCCTTCATGTTATGGTCAGTATTAAAACAAATTATTGAATACTGTATTTAGGGGAAGAAAATTCTAAGGAAAAACAAAGTTCTCTGTCTGGCTTTATGGAATATCTTTAAAGCCACTTGAATAGTGATTATTAATGGAAAGTTATAACTATACGAACCTGCTTGTTTTAAAAGGAATTTAAAATATCTTAACATTCAAGATAGAAATGAGATTTGATTCTGCAAAAATATTTTTGAAGTGAATACTTACCCAAAATATGCTTGCAAACTGCAAATGGTGATTTTGATTTCCTAAATGATAAGAATATGTGTTCTGCATGCTGGCGTTGTTCATTATTAACCATGGAAGGTGGTGCCTTGAGAGTTTAAAAAAACAAAAGCAAAACAAAACAAAAAAACAAAGTACACTTGTTTAATAAAAAAGCTTGAACAATAGCAAACCTTTAACCCACAACAAAAGAAAATACTTTCACTTTTGGGGGGTAATGGGAGGACAAATTCCTGCTTATTATTTTAAAGAAACTATAAAGCATAAAAAACTATAAAGTATAAAACTTCATAATAAATATTTAAAATATGGTTTCAGGGTAATGGAAGAAATTCCTGGCAAACTCTGGGTGAGAATCCTTTAAAGTTGCTACATTTTAGAAGATAGATACTTACCTAAAATTTTCCTTATCTTTTAAACATAGCTAACTTATTGCTTTTTATTCCAAAATATATTACTTCACCTAACTTGACAAAGTTCAAATAATCTCTAAATTCTTCAGCACTGGTGAAACCAAATCCAAAGTCACTAAAAATTGATTTCTAACAGCAATCCTTTAAAATAAAAGTTTTATCAGATAATTTTACCTCAAGTTTTCTAAAATCACCATTAAACCAGAAATAATAGGGACCTGTAAAGTTTGAAATTTACAAAACTCCTATCTGAATAATAAATTAATCAGCAGAAAAGCCAGACTTCTGGCTTAACAAAAACAACTTCTATATATATAGTCTGCCAGGTTTTTAAATTCCATTTTGTTCTAACACTCTTTCCTCTAATGATACTCTTCTGAACCTAAAACATACCCACCTAAAATACATTCTCATTATACGGCTTGGTAATCTTTGACTTACACTTTGATGGTCTGGCCTAAAGGAATTCTTATAATTAGTTAAAACCAGTTCAGATGCTACTCCTTATGATACAGCACCCTCTACAGCTCTCTAGATCAAAATGAAAGTATTTTCATTAAAGAATTGTATTGGGATGCCTGGGTGGCTCTGTGGTTGAGCGTCTGTCTGCCTTCGGCTCAGGGGGTGATCCTGGGGCCCAGGATCAGGGTCCAGGATCAAGTTCTACATCAGGCTCCTTGTGGGTAGCCTGTTTCTCCCTCTGCCTATGTCTCTGCCTCTCTCTATCTCTCATGAATAAATAAAATCTTTAAAAAAAAGAACTGTATTAAATTCTTTAACATGTCTTTTGAAAAAGGCTTTATTAATAAAATACTCTGAACAGCTAACTGCAGAGTACAAATATTTTTGTCCTTCCATTTGCAAATTCTTCATTCTTACTATTTTAATTCAACAAGCTTGTGTTTTTGTAAGATATTTCATCATTAATATCTGCTGACTATACCCCAAAAACACAGCATATTAATAAATACTACAACATGTCCTACTGCTATGAATACAAATCAACTATAGACTACCCCAGTAATTCTGATTTAAACATTCTTTCTTAAAAAAAATAAAATAAACATTCTTTCTTATCATCATCCCAGTACACATACATAATTTTGCAAATAATTAATTATGCCAGTTATTCTACAAAAATAGTTCCTAAAGCTAAAAATCTTTGGATACTCTGATATCCATCCACATGCTTAATAAAGTACTGGTCTCAATATAACTTTAATATGACAGAATGCTATTTCATTTATAAAATATCAGATTTCCTAAGTAATGAAGTATAATCTAAAAGTAGGTTTATCTTACCCACCTGGTTGAACATTTATCATACAAACAATAAAACCATTAATTGATTCATTAAATGACAATATGGTATTCACTTTAGTTTCCCAAAACCAAAACTCCTAAATCATTTTGAAAATGGCTTGGCAATGGTTTCCACATAGCAAATTATGAGCATCGATGAGTCCTGAGAAGCTCTTTTGTTAAAAACAAAAGAAAAAAACAAAGAAAACAATCCCAAACAGATTCCCAGTCCCCAAAGGTTTAGCAGGCTGGGACCCTAACCAAAAATATGCAATTTTCTCTTAAAAGTTCCTAGGTATTATGATCTATAGAACCTCCACCTGTCAAACTCCTTCCTCTCAGGAACTAAGAACTCATCCTTCAAATTCTGCTTCAGTCTCTCCTTCATCAGCCTTTCCTGACCTTTCCCTAGTCAGCCTGAACACAAATGATGTCTCCATCTCACCACCTTGTAGGATGCACTATGTATGTATCTCTACTATTCAATTTACCATAATGTACTGCAAGTATCTGCTTGCCCCTTCTCTCCTTTTCTCACTTTTCTGACACCAGGAACTTTCTTTTACTCATCTCTAAATTCCTAGAGCCTTGCACATACCAAAAGGAGAGGCAGCACAACAATAACATTTATTGAGTACTTAGCACTGCAAGGCATTATTTTCAACTAATGGACAGGCATGCAGATATATAATCTCACATTAATCCTATTAACAACCTTATGAGGTAGAAACTAATAGTATCCCCATTTTACAGATGAAGAAACTGAGGAATGGAATAATCAATTTGCTCAAGGTTAAGTAGGAAGCAGAGGTGGAAACTGACTCAAGGGCTCTAACAGAAACTACACTCAGATGTCTCAGTACCATGTAAGACTTATGCTTAAAACTTTGGGGTAGAAAGAATAAATTCCCCTAAAAGTCTTCCTCTAGCACCCCATACAGACATTAGGGTAAAGTTTGTAAGGTTTCAGTAAAGAAGTAATAATAGTAAAAGAGTTTTTTGCACTGTCTGTTCTTTCATTATAAACAATAGTAAAAGCTTTAAAACAGCTCACACTTCAGAGGTAGAGTCAAATGCATCAGAAGAGCCTGAAGAAATAGTAGATGGTAGCAGAGTATGGTGATGTTAAGAGAGGAAAACACAGGTGAGCGATCCCGGGTATCCTCAGGAAAACAAAGGCATGGTCAGGGGAAAATTGAGAGGTATTTCTAAGGAGTCACATGAGCAGGAAACCTGAAGCTCTCAAATCCCTAACTCAATATACTGGTGTTTCTGGACCAGCCTGCACCATTCCACTAGCCTACCAAGGCCACCTTCAATTTACAAAACATCCAGAGGAAATACCATTGGTAGCAGAGAGCTAGAGGCATCTGAAGCTAGAACTTGAAACAAACACACTAATAAATGGACTACATGACATATTTAATATGAGGGGCTTAGGGGAGGGGGTCGGGAGAACCAAAGTGCCTAAATAATTTCTATTCAAGAAGTATTTACTGAGGACTGACTATACTTCAAGCACAATGCCAGAAGCTAATATAAAAGTACAGAAAATCTTTCCCACCCTCACAGAGTTCTGAGTCTCAGAAAAGACAGACAGTAATCAAATAATCACATGAATAATTATGACAGTCTATGATTTCTGCCACTAACTGCATTCTGGTCTGGTCTCTCTGTCGTCATGCTAAACCTGTCCTCGAAAAGTCAGAAATCCCACTTGCTAAATCCTATGAGGCCTTTAGACTCTTTCCCTTGGCAGTTATAATAACTTTTATTAAGGTTAACAACAATAGCACCAATTAATCCTCACACGGACTGCTAAATTACATACTCTCTCATTTAATCACAGCAACATCCTTGTACGAATTATTTCCTCTTTTTTAAATATGGAGAAACTTAGGTTCACAGATCATCACATGTCCAAGATCGTAAAAAGTATCACAACCAAAATTGCATATTAAGTCTGTGTGACATCAAAGCCCATGACCTGACTCTTTTTGTACTAATGAGGAAACACAGTTGAGTAGACTAATTTCTGTCAGATGGCTAATAGAGAAATCCAAATAATATTTTTGGCTTACTATAAGTATAATTATTTACAGGATAAATAAATCAGAAAAAAAGGTATCAAAGTCGCATTGAAAACATCAGGCAGATGTTTCTGCCTAACTTACAGATAGAAAACAAGCTACAAAAGTAGAAAACAAAACTGAAGTCATGCCACAGAGCTGACAGAATTTTTTTAGCTGTAACTGCTCTCTCATTTTTTAGAGAGAGCATGGCTTAACTTTCAAATTAGAAAATCACAGGTATACTACCTAAAAACACATTTACTGGTAGTTTTTGATTCATTCATTGAAGACTTTGTTAAGAATTTGCTCAATTTTTAGTTTTCTCTCTATAATCTTTCGTTAAACTTTTGGAACTTATCATTGCTCCTACCTAAATTAAAATTAAATTTAAAACTTTTAAACTTTTGGAACTTATAATTGCTCCTACATAAATTAAATTTAAATCCATAACACATGATGATATACTTTATTACTAAATTTAAATGTATTATACCAATATTTCATAGCATTCCACAGAGTAAATTCCAGATACTGGACCTTTCCGCTAAACAAATTGAGAGATGAGCCCTAATTAATCTCTTGTGATTTCCTAGGATATTCCCAAAATTTGTTCTTCCAAGTCTGTTTTTCTCTCAAGCTTCTCATATCACGATACCCATCACTCCAATCTCTCAGAAAATGACCTTATTTTTACTTTCCCAAAGTGAAAGCTCCCTGTATGATTAGCTCCTTTATGTAGCTTCCTTTTCAAAAAGAATATTCTCCAATCACCTTCTCCCAATTTCTTAACAAAATATTCCCTCCCCCTCAACTTTCGCTGAAATCTAAATCCTCCTCCCATACCTGTCCCACTGGCTCTCTGCTCACATCCACCTCATTTCCTCCCACATCTCTTTTCACTCTATCTTAAAGTTATACTTAGCAATGGCACACTGCATTCTGCTTACTAAAAGGTTTACCCTACCTTAAAAATCCCTTTAAAACAACCAGTCTCCTATAATTAAAAGAATAGGATACTGAATCAAAATGACCAGGTTTCGGATCCCTGGGTGGCGCAGCGGTTTGGCGCCTGCCTTTGGCCCAGGGCGCGATCCTGGAGACCCGGGATCGAATCCCACATCAGGCTCCTGGTGCATGGAGCCTGCTTCTCCCTCTGCCTGTGTCTCTGCCTCTCTCTCTCTCTCTGTGACTATCATAAATTAAAAAAAAAAAAAAATGACCAGGTTTCTAATCCCACCTGTGTAGCACATGAGTTGGAAAACTTCTATACAAGGATATCTCCAAGCAAGTCAGTGTTCCCA